AAAATTACCAATTATACTCCCTCAGAATCTTCTCATGAAATAGAGGTAGTTGCTTTACAATTGGTCAATATAGATATCTTTCAGGATGAAATCCCAAAAAATGTTACAAATCCTGTAATAGATTTGAAATTATCACGTGATATAAAATCCATTACTAATAGTAATAGATTTCTGAAAATTCAAAATCATCACATGAGAGAGAAACCATCATCAATACTTCGCTCACCATTTGCTTAAAGATAGAAAGGAAACTTATCAATAATGAATGCTGTAAATAGTCAGACTTGTCTTACTAAGAATCCTTTTTTAAAGATAGTTATCAAATTCATGCAAAATTTGCTAAAAGGGTTTCTCTCTCATTTGAAAGTCAACTTCTGGAATATATAAAGTTTTTTTCTCCAAAAACTATAATTCCTAAATCAATAAGTATTAAGAGACTTGTCAATTTATTTTGTCAAGCAAATGGTGCAAGAAATAAATCGATCATAGCAAAACGAGCAGAGATTACAGCCTGATATTTATTCTCCAAAAGATTCAAAGATAAAGTCATGAAGCTTAGGTCTAATGATAAAAAACTTACAGATCAGACTGCAGATCTATAATAAAATAAAGCCATATCTTACAAGTGTTTCAGTTAGATATTTATGTATAATAACTTATAGAGCAAGAAAAATTAATAAGTTATTTGGATATGAATATGATTTTGTACTTATGAAAAAGATTGAAGGTATAGGAGGATATATAATTCAGCAAATCACTTATAGTACTGACAAAATTTCAAGACTTACTAACCCTCAAATTGAATTCATTATAGAACAAATCAAATTGAAAATAAATACTAATGATTACCAGAATCATGTAAACGAAATCTTTGAGACTGTGGTTACTATTTCAGCTCACAACTCAAATAATAATTTTAGTGATACATCAGATATTACTGATTATTTTAAGGAAGAAGAAGAAGTGAATGAATCGATTAAAGAGAGTTTTATAAAGTCTGAAGTAATTATTAAAACAGACAATAATAATTATATGTATTTTTATTCTGAAGATGAGAAAAAGAAAGTAATGAATGAAGAGGTGTTAAAGATATCAGATATAGTAGATGATGATAGTAATTATAATCATAACAATAATTCTGAAAAAAAGATGCCAGATGATTCAGATAATGGATACGATGAATATAATGAATACAATGAATATGATAGAGGTTATTATTATTATGACAGAAGATATGAGAGAAAAGTTTCACCAATGATGAGTCTTATTATATTTCTGGTAACTACCTAAGAGACTCATATAGATTGAAATATCATATAGGTTTATTTCTTTTTTTTCAAAACTATTGAGTGGCTTATGTAAAAGTAACTTCATCATGTAGAATTAGATGCGTAGTTAATATTGGAAAAATTCTTGCTAAGATTATTCTGAATATATTATTGAAATTAATATTTATCATATGATTAATCAGTAGATCCTGCTTCTATTGGTTGAAAATGTGAAGAGTCTTTACGATTATCATATGATATAGGATATATCATAGATTTAAAGAAAAAAGCTAGAATATAGAAATATTATTTGAAAAAATAATCGTGTATAATAATCTACAGTCATAGAATAGTATCATATACTCAGAGAATATAGTAAAATTTCTTTAAAAAGTTATAAGTCATGATGATTCTTTTTATATTATTTTATTATAAAATATATAAAATATATATGAAAATTGTAAAACATATCGCATATATGGTAGCTTTTTTCTCACTAAACTTTATCAAAAAAATTTTACAAATATTGAAATAACCTTTTGTTTGCTTTATTTATAATAAAGATTTGGTTGATTTCAAAAGTAATTTAATAATTAAAAATGATAAAAAATTGTTATTAATGAACTATAGGATTACAAGAAATTCAATTTAAATGAAAAATAAAATAGATTATTGTATTATTTTTTTTTTAATTATTCTCTTTATATTTCCAATACTAATTAGCATTACCAATTACAGATATTTGCCAACTTTTTTTTTATTATTTTTTTATAAGTATATTTTTATTAATTACTTCTATTTTCTCTTCCTCCTTCTGAACTTCTTTTTTCTTTCTTTCCAAATTTCTATCTTCTTCAATAAGTATTATAGAGCCTTTTTCTAATCAATTTAAAAAGGATTTAATATTTGTCTCAATCTCTTTCTTATAGTAATTTTCATAATACCTACATCTATTTTCTAAATGTGTAAGGCAACTCCAATGATAACCATAGTTACAAATTAATACTTTACTATTATACATATGATTATTTGCAATAAGTAATTTATTGCATAAGTCATAATTATTTGGTAAAGGCAAATGTGTTATATTAAATCCAGTTGGCAAGCATTTAACATCAATAATAATATCAAGAGCAACTAGTTTGTAAAGAGGATAGCGTCTTTATTTAACAATATAATTTTAACCTTATGTGATAAATATTTTTTAGAAATGTTAAAGTAGAAATACTATCGTTTTATTGTTAAGATAATTTAGAGTTGAGGGTGTATATGAGTATCATTTTATTTTAGAAAAATTATTTTTTAATAATTGTATTTTATTATTATCTAAAAAAAAAAATTTAATTATTTTTTCTTTTTAATTAATCAAATATTCTCTATTACCTATAATACAGGTCTATATAATAATACTTTCTATACTATCATGTGTATTTGTATTTGCTCTTATTTTGCTATGCAAATTTTTAACAAAGTAATCATTAAAATTTATAAGATATAATTTTAATGCTTTTGTCATTAGATGTTTATTATCTTTCTAATAAAAATAATTAGACAAAAATGCTAATAATGTCTTATTATAATTTTTTTTCTTCCATTTTAATGTAAATGTCTATAGGCGAAATATTGTTTCAATATATTCTTTAAATGATTCAGAATGAAATAACAAAGCATAAATATCAAGTGTAGCAGGAATTATATTATCCAGTAAGTCTATTAATATTCTATATTCTATATCTTTACATGTATACATAAATTTTTGCATAATAATTTTTGATATTTGTTTTCATGCTTTACTTATCAATTCTAATATTAAATTTATTTTCTATAGTTTAGATTTTTTTGCAAAGGTTTTTTTTGAATCAAATATAAAATGAAAAAGATTTTCAAAGAAATTATGATATAACATGATAACTTTTTCACAAAATTTAAAGATATATGGAGTAGTTCAAGAATTGGAACAAAATTGCACATATGAAGGAATAACAAATTGATTGCCTTGTAAATGAAGGTGTGTAATTGCCATATATATGAAAAGTTGTCCAGGCCAATCTGCAACAATTAGTGTAACATTTAATAATAAATATTTTTTTAATGAAGAAACATTAGCAAAAGCTTCTATGATTTTGAGATAATCTGCAAGTAAATGTAAATTCATATTTTGAAAAGATATCATATGAACTCCTTTCATAAATCATTCTTCTTTTCTTTTTTGGATTGCATCATTATATATATATATGGTAAGTTGATCAATATAGTTAAATTGATTTTGATTTATTGATTTTTGTGCAATCCACTGATTTTTTCTAATATTATAACTTGTATCAAAATTATACTATAATATGTTTTTAAATACCAACAAAGATTAAAAGCATCAACATTTTTAGGATTTTGAATTGATATATTTTGATAAATTGTTGGAATTGATGCACAATTATCAACTAATTTTAAAAGATAAGTTGCAAAATGTTTACCATTAATAGTGATATAAGTAACAGGTCAATGCATAGAATAAATTGCATGGTAATCATCAATATTAAATATATAAAGATTATTATTCTATATTATATAGATATGTATATAAAATAAACTTTTGTGTTAATTTCCTTTTTTTTTTATTAAAAATAAAGATTTTATATTAAAATTAAATTAAATTTTAAATTAAATTACATAATATAAATAAATTAAATTAAAAGATATATTTGTTACGCATTAGATTTTATTTTTTTTTGAATAACTTATATAAATTGTAAAATATTCATCTATTTTTTAGGATGATTTGTTAAAATTTGTCTTCAAAAATAAAATCTAATAAAATATTAATAATTTAATATATATTATATATATATACTTAGAATAATATTTTTGTAATAAAAGAAATTCTAAAAAAAGAAATTATATTATAATTACCTTGATTACTTTTTACTTTGGTGTTTGTATTATTATCATAAATTGGCAAATTATTTAAAGGCAAACTTGAATATTTATTTCGGTCGGGTTCAACAATATTGTTGTAATGCATTTGACATAGTTGGTTACCAACTTTTAAATAGTTATATATATTAAATGTTCCTTTTGTTTTAGCTTTTTCATATGCAAGCTTAGTAAAAGTACGAAAATTTGACAGCATTTTTATTACAAATATTTATTTCACAAGGTCCACAATTTGGTAAACGCAGCATTTTTTAAAAATTTCGCGATACATTTTGTGCAAATATAAGCAAATATCAAGCAAAAAATCAACTGAAAATTCTAATAAAATTTAAACCTACCATTATTTGCATCGTTGATATTTGAACTTGTATATTCCATAAAGTAATAATAAGGTAGACTTGTTTATAGTTCAGGTTAGCTTCTTGAAACATGCCATCACGATATTAATTGATTTTTCTTCCTCTATAGTTATTCAAAAAATAAATGGACATATTACTTTTCTTTTTATACATCGGCATTTTGAGAAAATCTTTGACAATCATTCGCGTATCATAGACATAGCGACAGTATCGCAAAAATAAATTTTTATACCTTGTATAAAACATTGTCTTTGCATTCAATCTCATTCAGTACAAATTGCCATTGTTTTTCTTGATATATTTCTCTATACTAGATCAATAAAATGCGATTGAAAGTTAGTATGATAATTGAATAAATGCTTTAATATAATCACAAGTTTGTGAATATAAAAAATAAAGAAATCCCATCAAAACTGCCAGCTTGTTGTCAGGCGCAGTCATAATGGTCACCTTTACAGGTAAGAACGGTCACCGGCTGTTGTCAGGCATAAGCACGCTCTACTTGTACTTCTATCACAACTGCTGGCCTGTTGCCAGAGCACAGTGTAATAGGGTTGCAAAAGGTGATGATTATTATCTCACTTCACACTTCCATTGGTCCCCACCTTTACAAGTAAGAACGGTCACCGGCTGTTATCAGACATGAGCACGCTCTACTTGTACTTCTATCACAACTGCCGGCCTGTTGCCAGAGCACAGCGTAATAGGGTTGTGAAGAGAAGTCTCACTGGTGGATTATCTCCACTTCACACTTCCATGGGTCATCTACCGGCTGTTGCCAGACATAGTAGTCATGGGTCAGAAAAACTAAAAATGTAAGAATATTAGGTTGATATGATAATCCATCCAGACTTATATTTTCTGGTACATATATTTAAAGCTTCTTGATTCAGTATGTGGTTCAGTAATCTATATTCTATACTAATTTTATACTATAAAGATATATTTGTGCGGGTCAAGATTCATATATTTGCTTCTCTAAGAGCTAAAAAATATGGTTAATAACTTTAGATTAGAGTAATCTTTACAATATCACGTTGAAATAACTAATTTGAAAGTTCACACAAAATTTGTCTTACATCACCACAAAAAATCATTGTCCCTGATCAATTATCACGTGCTGTGAATTAATCAGTCACGTGTCAGCGCGTCACGATAAATATAAAATTTCTAATTCAACGGCGAAATCGAAAAAATATTTTACAATCCTGTTTTTTTGCTAATGGACAAACACAAAGAACACGCTTAAAGAGCACAGAGCTTTTTGACTACAAATATTCGAGAATTTTGGGCTTACATAAGTTCTTTATTAATGAATCAATGTCTAAATAGTGTCTGGAATCGTTCGTAAATATGTTTGTAGATGAAAAAGAAATGGACCTAACTTTTGAACAAATCCAAGGGCTCTTTTTAGCCAACTTGAAACAAATTATTAACCAGAAGAATGTTATTAGTCCTATTCGTGCGTTTTGTTTAGATTATACTGTATGGCTGCAAGTAGCATAGCGAACTTAATTCTGATTGGTTGATTTTCAAAATGATCGTCACATATTAAATTTATATAAGAATGTCGATCATCTAACTTTAAATAGATTCGCAGCCACAGGGATGAATTCGAAGGATTGCGATAAAAAAATTTATAAAATATAAGTCTGCTTTATAAACTGTCAAAATAATTTGGTAGTTCACAAGGTAATTCAGAAGTTAGCTAAGAAGAGTTTTTTTAATTGTTACCATAAGTGGCTTGTTAAAATAGAAATAGACATAAAATAGCTACACAAAACCCCTACAGCGAAGAAATACCTTTTTCAAATGAAAAAAAAAGAAAAAGGAAGGCCCAGCATTGTGACTTTGAGGGTCAAGATGATGTCATCTGCAATTATAAATAGTTTGACGCATTTCTTATATCAGATCAAGTTACAATCCCAAGTTCAAGTCAACATTTGGACTTGGTCAGTAAAGCATTATACCGGAAACACTATAATCGGTTAATAGTAAATGCAAAAAAACCAAAAACCAACACCTGTTCACATCCCAAACATGATTTATATAAATCTATAACCAGAAACAATAAAGAAGGAAAGAAATTTAAGAAGATTCCAGAACGGCTAATTGAATTTTTAAATTACAACCAGATGTGAAGATGTGTTATCATTGCTTATACGAAACTGATAAAGATCCTGATTATACTAATGTATTAGAATACCTATTAGCACAAGAGAGGATTTTGAAAGAAAATTTAAAACAGATTAAAGATAGGTCATATGTTATACGTAATAATATTATTTATTCTGAAGCTGAATTTCAGGAACTGGAAGCCACGTATAATGATGTATGTGCAGAGCTTAATGAAGCGAAATTAGGTAAGTAAATTAAGCAAATCATTTTTTGTTTATAGTTACATTTTGAACTTCTTTCTTATATAATTATTTTTTTTTATTTTTTTTAAAATTAATTCCTCTTAGTAAGAAGATCAAACTAATGGTGGGAGTGTTGTATACAAGGTAATGAGTGTATAACGAAAGACTCATTTTAGATCCAGAAGAATTCACAAAATGCTTGAGAAAGCTGAGCCATCGTTAAAAGGTTTTTTTAATCAATTGGTAGCTGGAATTAACCTGCAAGCTAAGAATAACATGACTAATGAAAAGAATAAAAGAAGATTGATTTTATTTTGTTATTTTTTTGTGAGACTTAATAATAAGTTTATTAATGGAATCAAAGCAGAGGTTGAATTTTTACTAGATGCATCCAGAACTTTTTCATTGGCTATAGAGACATTAGCTAGTATGGGCTTGACAGTAAGGCATATAACTATTGCAAGATAGAAAGCTCAATACTCGGAAGAACACACGACAACAGTGGGAAGGTTTTTAACTAACAATGTATGTATATAAATATATTAAAAGTTTTGTTTTACAATTAAAACTAAATTATTTGTTTTAATAGAATGAAAGCTTAATCGTCCTCAATGTAGATGGTTTCCATAATATCTATGAGTATCGCTGTAGTGATGTAACAAGTACTCATGATATTACTCATTTTGTTATAATACTTTTAAAAACCTTGTTAGAAGTAGCATTTATCCCATTTTGCAATCCCGATAATCAAGAAAAGAATGTCCATAATGAAAGGGGTATTGATGCAAACATTATTATATCAAATGCTTACTCAATTTTCTTTCCTCATTTATAGCTTAGTTATGCAGGACGAAAGGAAGCATTTGCTGGTTTAACACCTGCATTAGAAACCCATGATGAACATGTTGAACGTCTCTTAATCTATAGCTACGATATTAGGATTGAGCAACGTCATACTGATTGAAGTATGAAAAATACGAAGTTAGTTGATCTAAAAGAAGGATCTCTTAAATCAACTGAAGATTATATAAATGCAGTTAAATACTTAATAGAGACTCCTGAAATAAAAACTTATATGAAAACATAGGTATTAGTAATACCTATAGACTATCCTAAATAACTTCATGTACAATGTGCTATTACTCGTTACATCAAAGCTGGAGATTCTTCTGGAATACTGGAACAAATTTTGCATATCATTCTAATGATTGAGCCTTTGCATGTATCCTTAAATAGTCATGAAATGGTTTTTCTTTTAAATTATCAATTCTTTAATAAGCTTTTTCACAATGTATATGGAAATCGTAAGATATTGGCTAAAAAGCCAAAACCTTATAAGATCAATTTGCTTTTAGAACTAGTATCTCAAGGTTGGTCTCAGATACATTTATCAATTCTATGAAAATTTGAATGGTCTAAAGATTTAAAAGCCAGATATCTTATTAACTTATTAGACAATATCATTCCATTAGTTCTGGATTTTTATCTATTATATTTCGTAATGGAAATTGAATGGCATACAAAAAAGTCATGTTTCGTATTTGAGCTATTTTTTATCAATATCAACATCGACATTATAACAAATTACCATTAGCTTTTTTAAGTGATATTTTTTTTAGTCTGATACTAATCATCTAATTTCAAATATTCTTTCAGATTCTCTCCACATTTTCAATGATTATTATGTGAAAAATTTTCATAGTTCTCTTCAATGACAAATCCAAGAATCAAACACAGCAGATCAGATTATTTGACAGGCATAAATGATCGATCAGACGTATAGTAGCAACTCATTTACTAATATGTTTTCTAAGGATCATAATATTAGATATTCAGTCAAACAGCTAGAATATCTTGAAAAATGCACTGCACTTTTTTTATTAAATTTATTTACAGGTGTATATACAAATATCGGTAAATTAAAAGCTGTTTTATTTAATAAACGTTTTAAATTCAAATTATTTGAACTTTCAATATTAGAAACTAAAGTTGATATCAAGGTGTTACCAATGGCTTAGAATACTGCACATCCTTCTTGAGAAGACAGACAATACGATTTAGAAAGTTGCATAGATCCTGAAATGTAAGTTGCATTTTAATCTGTGAATATGCTTATCATTTCAAATGTTTTTTGCTTAAATTAGAGAGTTAATGCTAGTATTATGGCGATTTCCTTATAAGCGAAATTGAAAATAATTGTAAAGCTTTTCAGAAAACTTTGGAATTACCTGGTAAAATAAAGATAGATGAAGATGTAAATGAGAGGGATGATTCTGAAAAAAAAATAAAAAAAAAATAATTATATAAGAAAGAAGTTCAAAATGTGGCTATAAACAAAAAATGATTTGCTTAA